ACCCTTTTTTGGGTCTCAGTCACACACGATCTTTAATTCCAAAACTACAACACCTACACACTTCAAACCTGCACTGGATTATTCTAAACTAATAGCAGAATATTTAGAATATTTAGAGAAAGGCGACTGTTACCGGGCTGCTTGTCACCTGCTACGCAGTTGCAGCAATGATGTCACGCGTCGAGACGTTCTCCATACATTGCTAGCTGGCTAAAAGACTTCTGTGAAACATAGAACAAGAGCGACGCCAAGTGGAATAAACTAAATGTTGTCACTCCATCATCATATCTTTGTCAAAGCCAAACATGGTTTTAAATATTCTGGTATTAGAGCAGAATAATCCAGTCCAGGTTTGAAGAGTCTAGGTGTTGTAGTTTTTAAACTAGAGTTGATTAAAGATGCGGGAAGTATTGAAAAGTTGGGTGGAATCGCCCTTTAGCCATTTCCCGAATCGGAAGCTAGCATTGGAAACCAACTTCAGCTTTGTATATTAAGTGCTATAGTTAAATTCAGAATTGATTACGCTTCAAATAGAACTCTAAACAGGTGGGTTTTTAGTTGAGATTTAAAGGAACTCAGTGTTTCAGCAGTTTTACAGTTTTCTGGGAGTTTCTTCCAGATTCGTGGTGCATAGAAGCTGAATGCTGCTTCTCCTTGTTTAGTTCTGATTCTGGGGATGCAGAGCAGAACCAGAACCAGAAGACCAGAGGGGTCTGGAAGGTTGATACAACAGCAGCAGATCTTTAATGTATTGTGGTGCTACGTTGTTTAATGATTTACAAACTAACAGTATTTTAAAGTCTGTTCTCTGAGCTACAGGGTGTCAGTGAAGGACTTTAAAACTGGTGTTATGTGCTCTATCTTCCTTATTTTAGTGAGAATATGAGGTTTGTTTAACAAAATCACTGCACTAACTGTTTCATAGGTGCCAAAATACACAAGAGACAAAAAGAGAGAAATAGTGACACCAATCTGCTTTTCTTTTTGGAAATCATTGCTACATTTCATGCAGGCAACCCCATTCCTGAACATGCTGCAGGGATCCAGGAAACAACACTGGGTTAGTTTCAATCATTTTTCTTACCAGTTCCATATTTTTTATTAATGAAAGCGCAACAGAGTTACTTATGAAGTAATTACAGTTTAGGAAATAATACCTTGTATGTTTAAATTTGGTAAAATAACACAGTAGTAAGTACATTTCTATTGTCATGCTAATTGAAAGTTACATCTTATTTGATCGTTAAATAGATTATAATAAAACACTTTATTAAGTTGGTGGTTCTAAAAGTAGGATAGAACGTAGTAGATCTTTAAGTTACAGTATCAGGCGCCGCTCTTAAGCAACCAGCTCCCAGTTTTAGTCCATGAGGCAGACACTCTGTCTACTTTTTGACAGCCAAGGTGAAAAATAATTATACTAAGTATATCAAATTTTAAGCATACTTGAGCATACTTTAAGTCAGACTAATCATGAGCATACTTCAAGTTCACTTAGGATAAATCAATCAAATTTTATTTGTCTAACACATTTAGTTAATTTGAAGTATGTTATTTTGGAGAAACTAATTTTGTTCTTAGAGTATTTTAATAGTATTTAAATTGTATTAAAGCACAATTTGAAGTGTACTAAGTGTACTTTCACGTACTTTTTTGGAACAACTTAAGTTATACTTAGTATGCTTTAAATATATTGCTTTTTATGTAATATAAACATGTTTGATTAGTATATCTTAAGTGTACTATTTTTGTGATTGAATTACATTTAAAAATATTTAGAATGTATTTTCAGTATATAAGCATTACATATTTTATATATTAGTAGTGTGATCACAGTGTACTCCAATTACACTTGTGTTTTACTGCTAATGAAGTACACTTCTCAGTTACTTATCAATGTCTCTTATTATTATTCTTTGCCACTTTGTAAATAATATGCTTCATACACATTACAGTACTGCAAACATATCAGGCTACCAAAACACAGAAGGATCAATTACAACATACTTTATAGCTGAAAAAATTACATTATGTATTCAATGTATTCACATTTTTCAAGAGTATATTACTATTACTATATACTATTACAGAATTGTACAAATTGTCAAACAAACATGCTTATGAAAATTAGCACAATAAAACAATAGGTACACTTTAGAAGAAATGTGAAAAATGTTTCACCAAGGAGAGAGTATTGTTTCAATTTAATGCCATGGTATTCCAGTATTACTGCAGACAAACTGACTAAGTAGACAAAGCATTTGATACGTTTCCTGTAACAGGAAAAATAATACTAAAAATAATAACAATAATATCATACCAGAGTGATGCGTGACTACAAGGCAAGCGCGAAAGCTCCTCACTGGGCTGAACCTGCATGATGATCGGTTAGCGCTGGTTCGTTAACCACTAACACTCCGACCAACTGGGAACACAGACATGAACTTTACAAGGAAGACAGGGCCACACTGAGCAGCCTGTTGAGATGTAAAGGCCCCACATAATTTTTTGTTCACATAGATAAATCATTGTCACCACTCCCTCAAGGCGCACCTCTGAAAGCACAACTACATATTTGTTCTGTTTTGAAGTTATAAATGTTGTTTTTTATACAAGAAAAAAGGGAGAAAGCCTGCCCTCTCATATTATTTTAAGGTACTACAACGTAGTAAGTTTTGTCATTCGAAACAAAACTTATTAAACGGTAGAAATAGACACCGTTGGTGTTCGTTGGTGTAAATTACTGTTGAAATATTTCATGTATGGTTGCATTGCCGGTATGTATTAAGTTTGTAACTTTACAACATTGTTTCTGTCTAGCGATAGCGCTCTAATGTGTTGTTTTAAGGTGGAGTATGTTTATGTTAATTAGATGTGAGGATATCGCGAGGTTATCGGGTGCACAGTTGGTAGCCTAGATGTGCGCATGTGGATGTGATGTTCGGTGGAAATTGAGTGTATTGTATTTTATGCTGCATATGATCACATATTTATTGTATTTTTTGTCTTCATTTCAGTTTTACCCTTTTAATTGTCATTAAACCTGCTGACAACGTCCTTCGGTCTTCAGAGTCGTGACATGAGAAAGGTGTTAGAAAGCCTTTGCATCAGACATGCACCAGTAACAGCACAATATTATTCCTGCGGTTCACATTGAGCTAAGCAACCAGAGCTAACGCGGCGGGTTTTAGACTCCTACCTTGATTTCTCCAAAGAAACATAATTCCTCACAGGAAGTTGATGTAAATATCCATACAGGTCAGCCTGTGTCCATTTTGAGTCTAAGGCGACACACACGCGATCCGCGCGGTTTATCAAGCAGCGGCAGCATGCAGAGGTGGCAGCTTTGTTATTGGTCCGCTCTCTGGTTATAAATGCATAAAGTATAAACCTATATTTTAGGAATACAGCTTCTCTGCCAGTGAAACGCTCAGCGCAACAGAGACGCTTGCATGGGTGGTGAGGGCGGCTGGTGGTGCCCATCTCCAGCAGGCATCAGATGAGAGGTGGGGTTCACCCTGGAAAGGTCACCAGTCCATCACTGGGCCCTGAAAGCTAACAACAAATAACATGTATGAAAAAGACATGGTAAATTAACGAGAATAAATTTTGTCCAATTATTTTCAAATTAAATCATGTTTATTAAGCACTTAGTGTTGGTTACACACCAGTTTCTGCTGTGGTTAAAAATGTGGTGAGCTGTACAGTTAAAAAAAAAAAAAAAGCCTTCCACCATGAAGACGATGTGGAGGTTCATCCTCAGAACAGGTTGTTGTTCTGGTGGAGTCAGAGCTTCTTCTGAGACAGGAAAGTCTTTAGGTTTTCTAATTCCTGATCCCTGGCTTCCTCTTTCATCTTCATTTGCTTGGACTGCAAAAACACGTTGAAGATAAAAACAATGATGAACGAGATATAACAACAGCCTGACAATATCAAAGTGTCTTTGGCATACTTAGCTTAATTAAAATCTGGGTAAGTTTATTAAGAAACCTATATAAAGTCAGAACAGTAAGTAATTACACAAAATCAGTAGGTCCAAGATGGCGCCAGTGTGTATGGCAGGCCGTCTGTCCTTACCTTACCTACGTGTGTTAATTGTTGGTTATAGTGTGTTTTAATTTTGATTTTTATTTGATTAATTTTGTGATTGTACAGCACTTTGGTCAGTGGTACTGTTTTAAAGTGCTATATAAATAAACTTGCCTTGCCTTGCCTTGTCTATTAATTTTATTGTGACTTTTATGATTATTACTGTAACAATCATTCAGCTTCATGTTATAACTGCATGGAGGCTCTGTTTGTTGCGACTTAATATAGTTTTCTTCATAAACTGGTTTTAATTAAGCTGAGTATGCCAAAGACACTTTGATATTGTCAGGCTGTTATAATTCGTTGATCAATGTTTTTATCTTCACTATATTTTTGTAGTCTAAGCAAATTACGATGAAAGAGGAAGCCAGGGTTCAGGAATTAGAAAACCTAAAGACTTTCCTGTCTCAGAAGAAGCTCTGATTCACCAGAACAACAACCTGTTCTGAGGATGAACCTCCACATTGTCTTCATGGTGGAAGGCTTTCTTTTTCTTTTTTTTTTACTGAGCAGTTTGCCACATTTTTAACCACAGCAAAAACTGGTGTGTAACTAACACTAAGTGCTTAATAAACATGATTTAATTTGAAAATAATTGGACAGAATTTTTTCCCCTTGTTAATCTACCATGTCTCTTTTATCCATATTATTTTTTGTTAGCTTTCAAGGCCCAGTGATGGACTGGTGACCTTTCCAGGGTGAACCCTGCCTCTCATCTGATGACTACTGGAGATGGGCACCACCAGCCGCCCTCACCACCCTGCAAGGATCAGCGTGTTCAGATCATGGATGGTAGTTTAAGGTAGTTTGTCTCCCTTAAGTCCAGGCTTAACACAGCTTCATAGTCAATGCCATCATAAGCTGATTTTATTATATTGCTGACTATTTTTTTCTACTTCTAACATAAACAGGCAAAGAAGACACTCAGAAATGTTTTTCCACCCCAGGCATCCGGTCCCAATCATCATCAGTTCTGATGATGTCACATACATAGCGAGTCTGTTTTTCTGTACCCTCTATTTAATTGCTCTATTGTACTTTTTTGTAGGTTTCTGTAAAGTGTAGTGAATGAGAATCTTCTGCTGATTCTCACTTTTCTTAGGAAGGAGAAATGTCAGCTTGTCTTCAGTAATACTGGAATACTGTGACATTGTATTAAAACAACATTTGGTGAAACATTTTTCACATTTCCTCTAGATCAGGGGTATCAAACTCATTTTGGTTTAGGGGCCGCATTCAGCTTAATCTGATCTGCAGGGGGGGCCACACAAGTGTTTTATTGTGCTAATTTTCAGACCCCTTGCAGTATAATGTCACCCACGCAACTTCCTGCCCCCATTTCTCTGCTAGACTTAAGTGTAAGCTCATATAAAAAGTGATGTAGTATTTTGCTATGAATTGTCTAGATAAGGTGAAAAATAAGTTTTAACTAAGAAAAAATAGTGAGGGAGAGGTAAGTAGTTAAAGTACACTTAGTACACTTTAAATCAGGGGTGGGCAACTCCATGCCTCGAGGGCTGGTATCCTGCAACTTTTAGATGTGTCTCTACTTTAACACACCTGAGTCAAATAATGAGGTCAGGGACCAGGGAGACATCTAAGAGTTGTGGGACCGGATTTGCCCACCCCTGCTTTAAATTGTGCTTTAATACAATTTAAATACTATTAAAATACACCAAGCACAAAATTAATTGCTCCACAATGTGACACTTTAAGTTAACTAATTCTAAGTGAACGTTAAGTATACTCATTAGTCTGACTTAAAGTATGCTTAAATATACTAAAATTTAACATACTTCGTATATTTATTTTTCACCAAGAATGTGTCCGACAGAATAAATCTTACGTTTTTTTTTTAAATATTTTGTATTCAAAACAGCCTAGTGAAATATAAACTACATATAGAAAACTGAAACAAATGCTGAAGAGCAGTTCCTGAACGGTGGGTCACGTGCATTGTGTGTTTGTGTGCGTCATACTTGTACTCCCTGCTGAGGACGATGTTGATCCTGCCTTTCAGTGGCCTGTTCTTCTCTGGGATTGAGAACCAGGTCTTCCTGCCCATGATCACCACATTCTTCCTGCCTACAGGAGCAGTTTCAGTCGCTTATTAATCCAACCGATTAACAATTTCTCTGTGTGCCCATCACACAGAGAAATTGATTATTTAAAAAGCAACAATTAAATCAGTAGCTCCTCCATAACCCATGTTTATGTTTCTGTCATCTAAGGAGGATGAAGTTACCTGCTACTGACGGTGTGGCTGTCATCTTTCGGAAATGAGCGAATTCGTTGCTGAAAATTTGAAAATTCAAATTACTTTATTGATCCCAAAGGGAAATTGCATGAATCGACGAAGGCGTTCAGCACTTTGACAGTTTCATTCCTTCCTGAGCAACTGCCATGGTAACTGACCTGAGTCGAATAGGATGCCAGGGCAGCTTCCCATCTTTCCCAATGCCCAGGTTGGGGCACACCGCCACAATTCCGTTCAGGACCCGCGACATGGAGAATGTAGTCCGTTTCTTCTCAAAACTGCTGACAGCAAGCATTTCCCGCCAACACGACATAACAGAACCGGAAATTACGATCTAGTCTTCTGGATAACTATGTCCGTATATTTTATCTACTGCCCCCCTGTGTACATAGGTGGTATTGATTGAATTTAAACAACTTTTCTGTACCCTTAAATCAAAATCTTAAAAGACATTTTCTAGTTTTCCAAAGATATTGACAAAATTATACATTTACAAGGTTTAGGCATATGACAAAGTGAGGATAAGAAGTGGTTCAGAAGTCACTTCTACAAGTGCCACATGTGGCAGTATGAAACTCAAGCAAAAAACTGGAAGAGAAAGGAGAGAAGAAACCAAGTGAAAACATGAGAAAAGAAAATGAGAAAAGCTGCTCTCTACCAAGTCATAATCACAAGTATCATGGACTGTTTGCCTGAGCTGAACACTAATCAAGGTGCCAATTCACAAGAAATATTCTCTCAAGGCACAAGTGGTTTAAAAAGTTTGTATCCAAGAAAACCCCACAGATTGCATCGAGTCATTGACTTGCAGAATTAATTCCTCCTGTGGTGACAACTGCTTGCATCGTGTCGTTGACATTACAGCAAACTCTCATACAGAGCATGAATGTAGCAACAATGGGGAGGAAAAACTCCCCTTTAACAGGAAGAAACCTCCAGCAGAACCAGAACCTGACTCAATACAAGCAGCCATCTGTCATGACCAACTTAATTGGTGGCAGCATCATCTCAGCTGATGTCCTCCTCCAGGAAGGAATCACAGTCGAACAGAATGGCACACAAAATGTAGCTTCTATGGAGAGGAGCTATAAAAGGAGAGAAGATGTCAGTTGACATTGTGGTCTTTGGGGGAAAGGTGGTTTTGTGAACCATTGGTTTTCACAAAACCACACCTTTCCCCCAAGGACCATAATGTCAATACAGACTGGCTGATAGTTGTATGCGGATAACATTGGAATTTAAAGATAATGACGTCCATCGACAGCAGGGGTGTTCAAGTCCAGTCCTTGAGAGCTTGACTCAGGTGTGTTGGAGCAGGGTGCATCTAAAAGATGCAGGATGGTAGCTCTTGAGGACTGGACTTGAGCACCCCTGATGTACCTACAGGTACATCTTCAATAAAAAATAATAATAACAATGTCACAAAGTTCAATGTTTTTCGTCACTCATGTCAGTAAAATTATTATGCAAATTTATTACACAGAGTGAAGTACAAGCCTTTACTTTTTTGGAAGTGTCTCACAAAAAATTTAATATTACAGGAGATCAATAAAAAAAAAGGACATTCTTCACAGAAATTAAAAATTCAAAAGTACTTTAATGACCCCAAAGGGAAATTAAATGTTGTAACTCGTATTAATTTAAATTCTTCAAAGAGTTGATGTAGATAGAAAAGAAGTAATGGGGGGTACATAATTCTTCAGTCTTTACATTCTGGCTTAAGTGGCAGTTCAGATTTCACCTGATTTTATCATTTCTACATTAAACCCTAGAAGCGACAGTTTTCTAATATTTAATAGTTAAACAGTAAGATAAAAGAGTAGGGGCGCATGATAAAGCGGTACTAACATTGGTATCGACTGGTAAATTTTTAGCATATTAGTATCAGTCCAATAAATAAAACTGGGCCAATATTAACAACTAATATTTATTTTTTTGTTGCCGTTTGTTTTTAGAGGGGAAGGAAGGAGGCTGGTCATATGGTCTTTGTTTGGTCATGTGACTGTGATGCAACAGGATTGTGGGAAGTTTAACTGAAGCAGAGAAGCAGTGGAGTCAATGTTGTGGAGAAATGGTAAAATAATATCGGTACAGGTAAAACATGCAGTACAACTTTGGAAACTCAACCAAGAAACACATGAATAAGTACATTTGAGTAAGTGCAAATAACTGTTTGATTGAACTTATCCAAACTATATACTTCAAATCTGGGCTCAGATGATGTAAACCCAGGACATTATCTTGTGGAGTGGCATGAGCACCCCCAGCCCCTCTCATTGTTTATATTCCCCCTCCTCCCTCCCCCCACAGCTCTCACCCGGAGTATCTGATTGTCAATAGTGCCTAATGCAAAACACCCAATCCACCCCACTCCCCCTTGTAGAGTGTTTTGCCCAGATTGCCAAACTGGATAGGACCGCCTCTGTTTGGGCCTCATGTAGCAGTCCGATTGTGAATGCAGCAGGGACAGCAGTGCAGTGATTCATGGATGAAGAGATCACACTCCCCACAGAACACACCGCAACACAAAGGACAGGCGAGGACCTGGAAGCCAGCAGAGAGAGGGAGAAGTGAGAAACATTCCAGATGTTGAGGAATGATTGGTCCAACAGAGCTGGTCAGTAGCTAACATACCTGGCCTGGAATGTGAAAGCAAATCATTCCCCAGTTTTAGTTAAATTAGTTCATTCTGGGTTCCTTAGAAACACCATTTGTGTATATTTTAAGCTCAACTGACTGTAAAGGTTTTAGTACAATGGTTGTATGTAATGGAGAAAAAACTCATTCTAAAGATTACAAATTCCAAAGAAATGCCAGTGTCCTTAGGAACTCAACATTTAACATTTGTAAAAACACACAGCTGCTTTAATGTTGATAAACATATGCTACAGCTTTTTATACAAACCAAACATTCTCATTTATGTAATGATTTCCAGAAAGAAATGGAGCCGGTGCTCTTCTTCATTGAAGATATAAAGAGAAACCAGTTTTCTGGAATTCCGCTTACATTTTTATCTTTCAGCTGCCCTTGACAGGCCTGACAGAACCTGAAAGAAAATGACACTTAAGGCCACACAGGAGCGAGTTTCATGGCAATAATGACACAGGTAAATTAATAAGCGTTACTTATTCTGCTGATAATTATCAGCTGGACTCTCAATAAATGCTTGGAGGGGAAACAGATGATGAAAGGATCTGGCCAGATGTGGAGCAGACACCAGCGTCAAACCTGAGAGGAAAACACCCACATATGCACACTGCTAAAGTTGTATTAGCTTAAAGACATTAACAGAGAAAAATGAGTATCAGCTTCATAAAACATCCCATATACAATGAATGCCTGCATCACACATACCACAGACTTTACACTCCACAGGAAGCTCTGTGTATTTTGCTTGGCACTGCGGACAGAAGTATCCTCCTAGAGTCAGAGCCGGGCCACCACCGCTGTCCAGATGACTAGGAACGAACACACACACACACACACACACCTCATTGTGGGAGCCAGCTGTTAAAATGGTGGAGTTTCATTTTTTTCTGTACTTACGACATGTTGAATGACGGTTTGACATCTTGATCACTCAGAGAGGCTACAGTGTGCTGAGGAAAACCTAAGCAAACACGGGTTCCTGTTAGTATCAACAGTCCAGATAAAGCACAGACAGAGGAGCTGACTCTAGCTAGACTGCCTTGATACAAAGTACATCTTTTTAATGCCATTTTAATCAATAGAACCATGTGCATTTTAAGGGCCCTGGGAACTTGATTTTCAAATGAAATGCTGAATTTACTTTAATGCGAAAACAGAACTCAACAGTCTAGGTAAGATGCCTCTGCCGTTGTCTGGTTCAGGCCTGGTTGTCATACTTTTCTGGAATGAATTTAGCTTGGCAATCCTTTCAAGACTACAGTTCTCCCTGTTTGTGCATCATTTTCTACCATATCTCTTCTTTCCACTCAATTTTATGTAAGATGCTTGGACACAGAACTCTCCGAACAGCCATGTTCTTCAGCAATGATGTTTTGTGTCTTCCCCTCCTTGTGAAGGGTGTCAATGACTGTTCTGGTCATCTGTCCAGTCAGCAGTATTCCCCATGATGTTGACCCACTGACCTGGAGTGAGTAACATTCCACTAATACCTTTACACAGTAACACTATTTTAATAGCTAAAACCACATGTATTTAATGCCTAACTGGTCATAACTCTAGTCAGGTCAGTGTTTGCCTTGACAACAGACTGGGCAGGAGATGCAGCAGTGAAGCGTCTATAACAGTCGTCCCCAACCCCCGGGCCACGGACCGGCACCGGTCCGTGGACCAATTGGTACCGGGCCGCACAAGAAATAATTAAATATTTCCATTTTATGTATTATTTGAGTCTGGAGGATCTTTTTTTTTGAAAATCCTTTAACGGGATTCTCTTGGTTACTTGCGCGCCAACACTGAGCCCACAAGCAGCAAAATGAGAAAGAAACAGATCAGGTGTTTTTGGAAAGTTTCTTTGCAAAGGGGAAAAGGCTCAAAGAAGAGACAGGAGGATGGATTTATCCTGGACCAAAAGGTGAGTCCCACATTACAAGCCGCTCTGCGTAACATGCGGCGACCGGCTGCTAATGAGGCAATGAAGCTTCAAACTGCTTCACTACGTAGAGACCAAGCAAGCTGTGGATATAAGCAACACTTTGGGTGTCATTGTCGATCAACACTCCCTGATGGGACCGTCTCGTTGCAGAGAAACAAGCTCAGGGCTCCCGTTAGTCGTTATCGTGAGTTAAAATTTTCACGAAAGTAAAATGTTCGTTTTTGTTGCCCATCTGTATCTTATTTTGAAGGGATATGTAAATGTTACCATAGCGACCAGAGTCAGAGCGTTTGGGCAGTGGTCGAGAGGAGATGAGTAGAGCTTGTGAGTCTTAAGTCTGGTTTAGACGGCAAAATTTAAGAATTGCCGGCCGATTCTCCAAACCTCTGTGATCACAGAGCTGATAAAAGTACAACAGGTTCGATCGGTTCGTGTTCAGCCACACGGCAGGAGCAACAAACCACACGAACCGATTCCAGTCACGAACATCCCGATTCCAGAGGATAATCCAGTAAAAACCCCAACATAGCATATGGGAATTTTGAATGACCAAACACGGATGACAATGTAGAAGCAATAGTGACAGTTTGTGGAGTCATTTTAAGAGATAAAAGACGCAATAAAAAGAAAAGGCGGTGGATAAAAGACGACGGGAGCAGCCGCTCTATTTGCTGCACTATGATTTGGAGGTGAGTTATGTTTTTTCATAGTTAACATTTTTAACTGAATAAACATAAACATATAATAACGACCTTTACATAAAATAATAAACATTTCCACATATCATCTCCGATATCCACCAGACTCTCAATTGCGCGATATGTCAGCTGTTTGGGATTCCCCTCTGTTCTTATGTCACCGTGCTTTCTGATTGGCTACCTGTCACATTCAACAGGTTGTGTTCTCGTTTCCAGTCAGGGAAAACCCCACGGGCTGCGATAAAAAGGCCAAGACAACCAAACTGGGCATATTCAGGATTTACCGGGAACACCAACATGCAGACAGTCAATCTGCATGTCTTGATTGTGTTTTTCAAGATGCAACACAATCTGCATCTTGAAGAGTAAATGAGTTACAACAACATTTAATTGAATTTCCCTTTGGGATTAATAAAGTATTTTTGAATTTGTTATTCTGTATCACAGCTGAGCTCTAATAACCAAATTTTTCCTGAGGGGCAAAACAGCAACCACCATTCAGTGGCTGACATGTCAAACAGCAGGTAACACACAATACCCCCTACAACCATTACAGGGCCCCCTGGTCTCAATGTGACCGTAGCTTTACTTGCAATAGTAATAAACAAACCATCAAAGCTGAACAAGGCAGCAACTGACCTGAGAGAGAGAACCGTGGCCCGAATGAACACCAGGCAAATCTGACGCCAA